CTCAGTCATGCACCATCACCCCAAGCTAATTTTTTTTTTTTTGAAGATGGAGTTTTTGCTCTTGTTGCCCAGGCTGGGTGCAATGGTGCGACTCCAGCTTCCACTGCAATCTCAACCTCGCAGGTTCAAGCGATTCTCCTGCCTCAGCCTCCTGAGTAGCTGGATTACAGGTACACTCCATCATGCCTGGGCTAATTTTGTATTTTTTAGAGGAGACAGGATTCACTATGTTGGCTAGGCTGGTCTCGAATCCTGACCTCAGGTGATCCCACCTGCCTCGATCTCCCAAAGTGCTGGATTACAGGCGGTGAGCCACACGGTGCCCGGCTATTTTTTGTATTTTTATAGAGATGGGGTTTTGCCATGTTACCCAGGCTTATTTTAAAATGTTTTATAAACTCTTGCCAATACATTGTTATCATTTTGTTTAAACAGCCAATTATCTTGTTAAAAGTTTAAATGATGTATGTGTTTAATATTTCCATCTGCACACAGTCGTCATTTCTGCCATTTCTGGTGCTCTCCGTTGCTTCGGGTAGATGGTAGATTTCTAAACCGCATCCTTCTCCTTCTGCTGGAAGGACTTCCCTTGTATTTCTGGTGGTTCGGTTGTCTGCTGGTGTCTTAGCTTTCGGATGGTCTGAGGACACCTTCATTTCATCTCCGTTTTGACGTTACTCTTTCCTGGACATAGAATGCTTAGATGTGGTTTTTCCCCTTCAGTACTTCGGAAGCATTTGGCTCCATTGTCTCTTCGCTTGCATGTTGTGTGGACAAGAAATCATTGCCCATTCTTCTTGGGTTCATCGGTACATCACCGTTGTTCCTTTGTTTTGCTCTGGGCTGCTTTTAAGACTTCTCAAGCTGGGCGCGTGCTCACGCCTGTAATCCAGCCACTTTGGAGGGCTGGAGGGCAGGTGGATTGTAGGTCAGGTCATCAAGACCATCCTGGCTAACACATGAAACCCTGTCTCTACTAAAAATACAAAAAAACATTAGCCAGGCAGTGACGGTGGGGCCGCCTGTAGTCCCAGACTACTTGGGAGCTGGAGAGGCAGGAGAATGCGCTGAAGACCCAGGAGGCGGAGTTTTGCCAGTGAGCTCTGAGATCGCACCACTTGCACTCCAGCGCTGGGCGGACTGACGGAGAACTCCCTCTCAAAAAAAAAAAAAAAAAAAGACTTTTCTCCTTGTTTACTGGGTTTGGAAGCTATTTTATTATGATGGTCTTTTGTTAAGTTTTCATGTTCATTTTTGAAAAATGGACTCCATTTTTTTTTGAAATTTTTGGAAAATATGGACTCCAAGGTCATTTTTCTTGTCCTGGAGGGTTTTGTTGAGATTTCTTGGGGACCTGTGGGAATTATTCCATTTTCCTTTCATATTTGGGAACTCGTTTAGCCACTATTTGTTCAAAATAATTCCCTTTTTTTTTTTTTTTTTTTTTTTTTTTTTTTTTTTGAGACGAGGTCTCTGGCTCCTGTCGCCGAGGCTGAGTGCAGTGGCCACGATCTCGGGCTCACTGCAAACTCTCGCCTCCCGGGGTTCCTACGCCATTCTCCTGGCTCAGCCTCCCAGTTAGCTGGGGGACTACAGGGCGCCCACCACCCTCGCCCGGCTAGTTTTTTGTATTTTTTTAGTAGAGGACGGGTTTCCACCGTGTTAGCCAGGATGGTCTCGATTCTCTGGACCTCGTGTCCGCCCCGTCTCGGTTTTTTTGTTTTTAAAGTGCTGGGATGGACAGGGTTGAGCCACGGCGCCCGGGCCTCAAATTTTCTTTTTGCTCCTCTTTCTCTCAACACTTCCCTTTCAGGACTCCAACTTACCCATCATAGTTAGGCCACTTTGGAGTTTTGTGATCTTACTGAAGCTTCTTGTATATTTTATTCTTCCTTCCTTTTTCTTTGATCGTTCTATTGCTATTTTTCCAATTCGTTCCATCTCTTCTGCGGTGGTCTAGTCTGCCCTTCATCCAATCCCGGTGTATTTTTCATCTCAAGTATAATCTTTTTTTTTCTTTTATTGAACAGAGGTTCTCCACTCTGTCACTCTAGTCGCCCAGGCTGGTGCAGGGTGCGATCTCAGCTACTGGCAAGTCCTCTCCGGTTCATGCGCATTCTCCACCCTCAGCCTCCCGAGTGCTGGGAACACAGGCACGCCCACCACGCCGGTAAATTTTTGTATTTTAGTTTAGGAAGATGGATTTCACTGTGGTGAGCCGGATGGTTTGATGCTCCTGACCTTCGTGATTCCGGCCCGCCTTGACCTCCCATGAGGTGCTGAGTTGCAATGCGTGAGCCCAACCAAAACTCCCATGAAGGAATTCATCAGATGTGTATCTGAGGTCCCAGCGACTTGGGAGGCTGAGGAAGGAGGATTGCTTGAGCCCAGAAGGCAGAGGTTGCAGTGAGCTGAGATCTCACCACTGCACTCCAGCATGGGTGACACAGTGAGACCCCCATCTCAAAAAACAAACAAAACATTTAAAATAAAATTCATGACAACAACCACCTAATGACCAGGAAAGAAGAACTGGCCTTGTACTATAAGTGAAGTGGTCGACTGTGTATACTATCATAAATCCTAAAGCAGCCACTAAAATTATAGAGTTATAGCTCCTGAGCCAACAATGGAGATAAAATAGAATCATAAAAATCATTGCTTAATCCAAAGGGAGGCAGAAAGTAAGTGGAAGAAGAAAATAAAGGACAGATAGAACAAAAGAAGAATAACCAGGTGAAAACCTAACCGCATCCGTCATCACGTTCAATGTGAATAGTGTAAGCACCCCAATTAAAACACAGAGATTACCAGACTGATTTTTTTAAAGCAAGATCCAACTCTATGCTGCCTGTAAGAAACACACTTGAAACACAAAGATGCAAATAAATGGAAAGTAAAAGGATGACAATGGAGATACCGCGAAACACCAGTTGAAGGAGAGCTGGAGTGGCTGTATTAATATCAGACAAAGTAGCCTTTGAAGCGAAGGATACTGCTGCGGGTAAGAGGATTATTGCATAATGACAGAGGGGTCAGTTCATCAAAAGTGCATAATAATCCTGAGTGTTTATGGGCCTGATGTGAGAGCTTCAGAATACGTGAAGTGAAACCTGTTAGAACTGCAAGGAGAACTCGGCAAATTGCAATGTGATATTTCAACACCCATCTCTTATTCATCGATAGGAATGTTAGGCAGAAAATCCACCGAGATGCAGTAGATTTGAAGAGCACGATCCACCAACTTGATCTAAGTGATACTGCAGAACGCTCCCCCCAGCAACAACAGAACAGACATTGTTTTCAAGGAGCACCCACTGATGTAGACCACATTCCAGCTAAAACCCGAGTCTGGACATTATGAGGTTCACACGAATGTGTTTTGTGAACACAATGAAGTTAAACTAGGAATACGAAGCAGGTGTCAAGCCTGGAGATGGGGTGACTGTGGCCAGCTGGGAAGTCACCACATCTGCCATGATCACACTGAGGGCTAAAATCACCTTGTGGTGGTCTCGCCGCACCATCCCTACAACCTGCACGCAGACCCTTCCTTATTTGCTGACACACATCACACGGGAGGGGAGTCTGGACCAGCTTTCTGCGCAGCCCGCGCTGGGGAGGCTGTGCAGAGACCTTTCCCACCAGGGAAAGCCACTCAAAGGAATAGAAGTGGGCGTATCAGCAGGCCTGGAACCAGGGAAGGGTTCCTGTTCCCGAAGACACCGAGACAGGTTGTACCCAGGCTTCCAGGAGATGGCAGCCACCTGGAGGCCAGCCTGGGGGTCACGTCAGCTCAGAGGAACTGAGACCCTCTGTCCCAGAGCAAGGCCAACAGCGGCCTGTGCTCAGTCACCTGGCAGAAGCCCTGGAGGGCTGAGCTGCCACACTCACCCTCCCTGGGCTGCGGACCTCCCTTCCGGTCAGGCTGGTCCCCCAGCTCTAGGGAAGCTTTCCTGCTGAGATCCCGACGCAGCTCCCCCGGGCTGGATGGGTGGAGACAGTGTCCACCAGCTGTCTAATCCAGTTCCCCGGGCTCAAGGGATGCCAGGGGCTAGGGCTGCCCAAGGGTCAGTCACGTGAGTGCTGGAGTCAGACAGACCTGACGGCAGATCCCAGCCCCACTCTGCATGGCCTTGGGCAGCCACTGTAGCCCTCTGGGCCTCCCTGCTGTGTACCTGCCTCGGTTCCCCCCTTTTGGGTTCACACTGGCTGAGGGCTCTGCCTGCCTTCAGGCCTGGGTGGGGTTTTGAAGACACTGTCACCTGCAGAGGCTGGCTTGGCCACCACACTCTCTCGTCTGTCCTCGGGACCCTGGGAGGACGTGGCAGCATCTGTGTCCAGAGGCGGGTGTGACCTACAGGTGAGGACACGCCCAGGAGACTTGGCACCAGCGCCCGCAGTGCCCGCCCCACTACCTGTGCCCAGAGACTCCCCAATCTGCATTTCCACGTTGCGAGGGGGTGTCCAGCCCCAGCCCCTGGCCTCACCTGGGTGTGGCCGTCCCTGTGCTCTGAGAGGCTGTGGTCGGCTCTTGGTCCTTGCAAATCGGAGGCTGCTCCAGCTTCAACGCCTCCTCTGGCCCGGCCTGGGTCGAGCGTCTCTCCATCAGCTGCTGTGAGGAGTGGGAGGCGTGTTGTGGAGAACGCAGGAGGCGGCTCCACAACTGTGGGCATTGGGTCGGGATGGTCAGGCCAAGCCCGGTCCCAAGGAGGAGCCTGAAGCTGGGCAAGTCTCCAACCTCAGGGGCCTCTCTGTCCATCTTGCCAGCGGGGCTGACGGTCCCCTCCTGCCTCCCGGAGAGGCCACTGCAGGGAAGCAGGGGTGGCTGGTGCCCAGCCAGGGCTGGAGGGTGTGGGAGCTGGGGGGCCCGCTGCACGGAGATGGGTGGGAAGGAAGCCCCAGCTCCGGTCCCGGCTGGGGGTGCTGGGAGGGCAGGCATAGGAGGGGAGCAAAGCCTGTGATGCCGGGAGCAGGGAGAGAACAGGCAGGGATGCAGGGCAGGGTGTCAGTGCTGCCGTGGGTCTGAGGCCGCCTGTATGTGTACTCCCACACGCGCACACACACACACACACGCGTGCATGCACACACTTCCATCACTCTCCTGGAGATGCCCCCCAACATGTACCGTCGATGTACTTCCCACCATCGGCCCCTGAACCAAACACAGAAGACAGGTCCACCTCCCAGAAGGTTTATCTCTTCCAGCCAGGTCATAGCTGTCAGCCGCCCAGTCGATGCCCTGCCAGGGTCACCGTTCCTAGGCCTGGGTGACATTGTCTCCTCATGGGGCAGGTGCCGAACCACCCCGGACAGCGAGAGCTGCCTATCGGAGGGGACGCTATTGGCACAGGGCGGCCGTGCAGAGGCGGCTCAGGAGACGCTAAGCCCCTTCCCTTCTGGCCAGAGACCTGCCTGGGGTGTAAGCACCACACGTGCTTTGGGTCATAGGCGCCCATGGAGAGCCCAGGGCTCAGGGGCCTACCAAGCCTGGGACACGGACAGGTGGGAGGCCCCAATGGCCATCTGTGACCCAGATCTGGTTCCCGCTGAGGCACCCCCAGTGCCGGCGTCCCCAGGACACAAGTGGCCGAAACCTCCTGTTTCTGCACAGAGACTGCTTTACAGGGAGCTCCAGCCTCTGGCTCGCTTCCTCTCGGCGAGGGGTGCCCACTGTTCCCGTGGAAGTCTCCGTACTCCTTCCCAGTGTGACTGACCTTCCCACCCAACCTCCTGCAGAGACAGGGGCTCCCCCCGTGGCAAGCGGCCGCTACCTCCAGCTGCCTCCTGAAGAGCAGCCCATCCAGAGTCTGCTGCGTCTCCCAGGCCTCCAGCTCTGCCCGCCGCCGCAGGAGGGCCAATGCCCGCTTCTGCTGGTCCAGCTGCAGGGAGAACCCAAGCTCACGGTTCCTGCTGCCCCCAGCCAGGGAGGGTGGGCCCCTTCCTCGGGGGTGATCCCGAGGAATCCTATGTCTGGGCAGGACCCCTCCCTCCAGCCCACCGACTTTCTCTCCCTGCCAGGGGCTTCCCCATCAGCCCGGGAAGCCCCTCCGTCTGTTCCTGCCACCTGCATGGTCCCCTCCCTCTCACCTGGCCACCCTGTTTCTAAATTCTATAGTCTGTGCATTACAGCCTCTTCCACTTGGCCTCTGGGAGACAGAGGCTGCCCCCGGCTCACCACCCAGCAGAAAGGGGACCCAGCTGTCGTCGGCCTGGGGCAAACCTTCAGAGAATCCAGAAAGCTGGAGGTCTTCCGCTGGGTGCTGGGAAGGTGTCTCACACACGGGTCCTCCTGCTGACCTGTGGAACAACGGAGGGGGGCAGCTGAGTGGCCCAGGCCACTCTCCAGGCCTCCCCTCACCGCTGCCTCGGCGCACCATGGCACAGCGGGTTAACACAGCCTCTGCACCTGCGGGGAAACTGAGGCATGGAGGCCAGGAGTGCAGGCGGCCTGACTCCTGAGCCCAGCTGGCATCAACTCCATCAAGAGCAGCCCCTGCCCTGCATGTCAAGGAAGGGCTGGGAGGGCTGCAGCCCCACGGAAGGACACGGAGACCCGCTGTATCTCCTCGTCCCCGCTAAGGCTGGCTCTGCCTGACCCCGGCCAGGACCAACGCCCGGATGGACGGCAGGAGTCTGTGGGGAGGGCGGAGGCCCAGGCCCAGCATATGGGCTTTGCCCCCAGACAGACCGGGTCCGTCAAGCATTTGCCATGTGACCTTGAACAAATCCCTTGTCAGTCAGAGCCCAGTGGGGACACAGAGGTTCCTCCTTCCCTTGTGCGAGGGTCCAAGGAGATGGTTTGGTACAGGCTGGCCGTGCACTCAGCAGGTAGAAGCTGCTGCTGACGGTGTGGACAGGGTGGGAGGGTGATGACAGGGTGGGTGCGAACGGGGTGGGTGGGTGCTGACAGAGTGGGTGGGTGCTGAGGGGGTAAGTGGGTACAGACAGGGTGGGTGGGTGCTCACGGGGGGGTAGGTGCTGAGGTGGTGGGTGGGTGGTGACGGGGTGGGCGAGTGCTGAGGGGGTGGGTGCTGATGTAAGCAGCGGCACAAGTCCTGGGCTCTCCTTGGAATTCTGGGATTGGTCCAGAGCGTGGGCATGAAAACCTCAGCCTCCTCCTTGGATAGTGAAGTCCCCAGTAGCAGCGGAGGGGGCTTCTCTTTCTCCGTGGTGGCCCCGAGTCCCAGCTCTGACTCTGCACGCTGTTGGAGCTCCTGGCCCCACGGAGGCTGCCACCAGGAGGCGCTGTAGGCAATGGGGTCTGCAGATGGTGGGGCCTCGTGACGGCTGACGATGAGTGCCCTGGTCACTGTCGCCCAGTGTACGGACGGAGCCAAGACCAGGATCCCCACTCCGACTGCCCCAAGACCGGCGGCTCCTCCAGTGGACTGCTCGCCTTCCCGGAACGGAGCAGCTCAGCCGTGAACCACACAGCTCAGCCGGTCCCTGGGCGTTTCCACAGCAGCAGAGGACGCCCCAAAGCACCAGAGGACGCCCCAAAGCACCGAGACACGGCGAGCAGCAGGAGCGCCGGCTGGCGTGCACTGGGCATTCGCGGTCACCCCTGTGGCCCCATCTAACTGGTGATGATGGAAAGTGAAGACACTCTTACACTTCTTGGTTTTGGTTCAGGCATCTGTTCTGAGCTGAAATTCCTTTTTCGCCAAGGGGAGAAACCATCCTTTGCTTTTGTCTCATGGGCCTGAGAGAGGCAGACGCCAGCCAAGGGGCCCCAGCCCCACCAAATGCCCCTCTGGCTCCTGCGAGCCCCACAGTCCCACGGCCCCCAAGATCTCCCAGTTGTGGCCTGAGGAGGGGGAGTCCTGGTCATCACCGGCCACATCAGCACCCGACAGTTCAGGGGACATGGTGGGACATGAGCTGTTTGTTCCTGAGCTCTGAGCTGTGACCCAGGAGAAAGCGAGCCGTCCCCGAGCTGGGCATGGCCCTGGCTGGACAGAGACTGCAGGAGTCACCCCAATGAGTGCCCTGACTCCTCTAGCAATGGGTGAGGAGCCCCAAAAAGTCTAGCTCCATGTGCCACCCCAAAGTCCCTGGTAGCTGTGAAGATGCAATGGGACAGTTTGACAGATCTTGGCACACGGCAGCTGCCGTCACTGCTGGTGGTGATGATGTTAACTAGCTACATTCTCAGTCATGTGGCTTGGGTCCTGGGGAGTCACAGCCTCAAACCAGAATGAGGCTGACAGGACCCATGCCCTCGGTGGGGGCTGCGGAGTTTGAGAGCCAGGGCTCTGCTGTCCAACATGGCAGCTGGCAGCCACACCCGCCGTTTACATTTAAACTTAAATTCACAAAAAATAAAACATAAAATGTCACTCTTCAGTTACACTGGCCACATTTTCGTGGCTTGACAGCCACATGTGACTGGTAGCTACCATATTGGACAACTCAGAATCTGAAACATTTCCGTCATTGCAGAAGGTTTCTAGTGGACATTGTGGTGTACATGTTTAAGTCTAGAAAGTTCTACTGGACAGAGCTAGTCTACGTGTTTAAGTCTAGAAGCTTCTATTGGACAGTTCTGGTCTAGGTGTTTAAATCTAGAAGGTTCCATTGGACAACTCAGGTCTGTTTAAGTCTAGAAGGTTCCACCGGACAGAGCTAGTCTACATGTTTCAGTCTAGAAGCTACCATTGGACAGCTCTGGTCTAGATGTTTAAGTCTAGAAGATTCCACTGCACAGCTCTGGTCTGGGTGTTTGAGTCTAGAAGGTTCCACTGGACAGCTCTGGTGTAGGTGTTTATGTCTAGAAGATTCTTCTGGACAGTGCTGCCTCCAGTCATAAAAGTTAGACCCAATAGAGTCCTGTTGCCTGTCCCCCTGGGGCTACTGCACCTTCCGCCCATAGGATGGTGAATGAGGTATAGGGATAAAAACTGCCCCTTCAGGCTGCCCTTTCCAAGGAGAAGGCAGAGCCTGACTCTGACCTCAACCCCCTTGGGAGATCCTGGCCAAGAGGCGGCTGTCCTGCGGCCATTGGAACTGTCCATGACTCACATTGGCTAGCCCCTGCCCATCCAGCCTTCAGGAAGTGAGAAGTCAGCAAATCCAGCAGTGGGAGAACAGAGCCCCATCCCAGCCCATCCCTGGGCACCCTGGGAAGCTTGCTGCACCTCCCTGGGCTGCACTTCCTGGGGAGAGGAAAGGTGGTGCTATGGTTTGAACGTTTGTCCCTCCTCATGTTGAAATACAAGGCAATTCAGCCATGAGGCAGCGATTCAGCCACGAGATGATTCAGTTATGAGGGTTCCGCCCTTGTGAATGGATGAATGCCATCATTGTGGGCGGAGGTTTGTTATAAAAGGGGGAATCCCACCCCCTCTCACCCCCCTGCCTTCCTCTCTGTGTTCATGCAGCAAGAAGGCCCTCGCCAGACACCGGCATCTTGTTCTTAGACTTCCCAGCCTCCAGAACTGTGAGCCAATACATTTCTGGTCATTATAAATCATCCGGTCTCTGGGATTCTGTTACAACAGCATAAACAACCAAGGCCAGAGGCCTGCGGGGGCCTTCCTGGCTCTGAACCCCCCCAGCACATGAGCTGTCTGCCCCTTCCTGTTGAATTCTCCCCTTGGCCTCATGCCTCAGATCCCATCCTCTGTGTATCCTCCCTTGCTTGTCTTCTTACTGTCCACTTTCCCTGAAACACAGGCACTGTAAGGGCCGGGGCCGGCTCCCTCAGTGCCAGGCAGGCAGTGATGCTCAGAGGATGTGTGTGGAAGGAAGGGGCAGGTGCATACCAGAGGTGCAGAGGCTCCCACGTCCTGGAGACTGGGAGAGTCTCCCAGGGGAGGGGCCAGAGTGGGGAAGACGCAGACCCTTCCTCCCTCAGAGGGCTCCAGGTGTGAGCCCGACAGGCCCTCTCCTCCACACACACACACAAGCATGCACACACACATGCACGTGCACAAACACACAGGACCCTCTCTGCTGGTCCGCAGAGAACAGCTTCCCTCAAGCTGCCAGGTGTGGCTCCGGGGCCCTGGGAGGACGCTGTCAGTTGGGGAGGACCCGAGGAGCCCCTCACCAACCGGGAAGCAGCCTCCAGGAGGGCTCCAGCTCAAGGCTTTGAACCCAACCCATGGCGTCCACATCCCAGGACTGAAACTCTCCTCCCTGCCCCCGGCACTGGCCCTGCGGCAGGAACCTTCCTCAGAACTCCCCGCTGCCAGCCGAGGAGGGTGCAGGATGTATCTGGGGCTGTTCTGGGATGGTGGTCCAGGGGTAGCGGTTGGATGGGGGCCCCCATTCACTCGGAATGCACCCTCCCACCATCTCTCCTCCAGCTAGACATGAACATGTTTTACTCCAATGCTCAAAATCTGTTCTTCTGAAGAATATCAACAGACAACGATGAAGCAGCAAAAGGGGTCCCCCACCTTCTGAGTCCATACTCACTTCCCATGGCTGCATCAGCCCCTCCAGCTGCCCTGCCAAACCCACCTGCCAGGAGGGTCCCACAGCGCAGCCCACGCCAGCACAAGGGCCTCAAGCCCAGGGCTTCAGCAACTGCTGGGTCCCTTGGGCACCAGGCAGTGGGCACTGCTTGTTGGAAACCCAGGATGAAAAGACTCAGTAGCAGAAAAAAAAGTCGAATCCAGGCTGATGGGACTGTAAAGAAGCGCCCTGGGAGGTGGGAGGAGCACAGCGGCATGGGGCATGGCTGTCATGAAATAAGCACGTGGGTCTCATCCACCCAGCCCCCATCACTGCAGGCGTGGCGAGCACAGAGCACGCAGAGGGTCCCGAAAGCCTCCAAAACCTTTAATAACGAGGCGTGGATGCTCTCCACGTGGAAAAGTATTTCTCTACCCCACAGGGCCAAGCTCGAGTGCTAGGCAGTGGAAGGGGTTCTCAGCGGATGCCCCTGGCCACCCGACCAGCCAGCCCAGGGCCTGTCTGCAGGGTCGCCCTTACCGCAGCTCTGGGGGGTCCAGGGCGCCACAGAGTCTGCCCCTCCAGCCGACGGCATCTCCTCCAGTTGTAGGGAGTCCCAGATAGGGTGCAGCGTGGCTGGGCCCACGTGTGAGCTGGAAGACACAGGCACACGCATGGCAGGGCCAGGCCCGTGGAGGAGACAGGAGGCAGGGAGATCTGGGGGACAGCCCTCGTTGAGCAGGAAGCTGGGCTCCTGTGGCCTGGAGCAGCTCTCAGACTCCCAACAGTGTGCCCAGGATGGGACCCGAGGGCCAAAAGCCTGGCAGGGGAAGAGCCTGAGGCCTGGGAACCAGGAAGCAGGGGTGAGTGGGAGGCAGGGGTGAGCAGGAGGCAGGGGTGAGCGGGTAGGGCCTGAGCATGTGTCCCAGCATGGTGGTGTGGGCCGAGGCGAGGCTACCAGCCCACATCTGGTAAGCACCGGTGCCAAGGCTGGCTGCTCTGGGCTCTGTACTCGGACCCCAGGGAGAGCAGGGGTGTGCACGGTCAGCTTCCATGGCCACTATCGGTCCCCAGGGCCAAGGTCAGAGTCTCCCCAGCCAGCGTGCTCATCGGGACCACCTCTGCCATCTACTAAGGGCACTGCCCACCAGGCCTAGAGCAGAATGGGGTCACACGTCAGCTGTGACCTTCACCCCTCTGCTCAAGGCTGGCACTGGAGACTTCAGGGCAACCTATCTGGGGAGCACCCAGGCTGTGACCATGCAGGCAGGCATGGCTGGACCCATACACCTGCCCCCACTCAGGCTGGCCAGCACGCAAGGCTGACAGAGCCAGGAGCCAGGTGTAGCCGCTGGCCTTTCCCCTGGAGGTGGCTGAGTGGTGAGGGAGAGCTGCCAGGCACGGACAGGCAGTGCTACTGGGATGAGGGGTCTTTGGGGTGCACAGAGAGACGGTTTGTGGGTGGCGTGTGTGCTGAGCCTGCATCTGGGGCGTGTGCTGAGCCTGCGTCCATGAGCACAGCTCGCCTCACTTTGCATTTCTCATCAGGGCCCCCATCTGTGCTTCCTGGTCCACAGTGACCCAGAATCCACTGGAGTGGCTGAAGATGCTGCCCATACCTGTCGCCCAGGGGTTGTCGGGCAGGGGGTAGACACGCCCTCCCTCAGCAGCCCTCAGGGCCCACAGGTGTTTGTCTCACACCCCAACTCAGAAATCAGTCTGAGGCCCGGAGCAGTGGCTCACACCTGTAATCCCAGCACTTTGGGAGGCTGAGGTGGGCGGATCACGAGGTCAGGAGTTCAAGACCAGTCTGGCCAATATGGTAAAAACCCATCTCTACTAAAAATACAAAAATTAGTTGGGCGTGGTGGCGGGTGCCTGTAATCCCAGTTGCTGGGGAGGCTGAGGCAGGAGAATCGCTTGAACCTGGGAGGCAGAGGTGGCAGTGAGCTGAGATCAAGCCATCGCACTCCAGCCTGGGCAACAGAGCAAGACTCCATCTCAAAAAACAAAAACAAAAAACAAACAAACAAAGAAATCAGTCTGAGAGGCAGCCAGGATCTGGGGCACCTGAGAGGCTCGGCGTGGGAAACGCAGGAGGGCGGCAGCAGGTGGATCCAGCAGAGGCTGCGTGCACTGGCCCTGAAGCTCCCGCCCCTCAAGTGGTGAGTGGCAACAGCTGTTTCAGAAGACACAGGCCGGGCCCCTTTCCTGGCTGCTGGAGCAGGGGCGGAAGCCTTGGGAGGGCCCAGTGAGCCTCTGAGCCTCTCCGTAATCCCTGCTCTCCACAAACCCGGGTCCCTCCAGGCCACGGTTCATGAATATGATTCTGCCTCCTGCTGTGTCTCTGCCGCCTCAGCAGGGCTGTGGAGGTGGAGGGCACAGCCCAGTGCCTGGCCCTGGTGGGAACGTCTGGGTACCATCGCCACAGGGAGCCTGGGCCAAGCCTCTGCCCGTCTGGCTGGACCCAGGCTAGGCCAGGAATGCGGAGACCTCAGCCTGAGTCTGGCCCTGGGGGCAGATCTAGCTGGTCCCCGGGGAGCCGGGGACACTGAAATTAACCTTTCCAAAAATTCTCACCACCCCCGCCCCCCACCCCCCACCCCTTCTCAAGGGCTGGGCGGAAGTTGTCCCGGGCAACGCAGGGACAGAGGCGAGGTCTGGCCCGATGCTGCCCTCTTCTGGTCACAATGACTCAGTTCCACGGGCTGGACTGGGCCTGGGCAGCAGGTGGGGTCGGGAGTGAGATGGGGCACAACCCAAAGGCCCTGGCACAGGCACCAAGCCCACCATCCCCTGAGGTCAAGGAGTGAGGCTCCAGGAGAGGAAGCTGGTGGGGTTTCCTAGGAAGGATGGGCAGGGGAGGCTTCAGGCCAGGAAATGTCCCAGCAGCGGGGAGGGGAGGGGCGGGGAAAGGAGGGAAGGTTGGGCTTGGGGAGGGGCACCCCCTTCCCCCACATGTGGACTCTGAGCAACAGCTCCTCTGCTGTGGTGCCCACTGCCACCCTAGTGCTACACGTGGCGTCTGCCCTCACGCCCTCGGCCACCCAGAAGACAGCTTGGTGGAGGTGGGTGGCATGACCCAGGCCCTGGTGTCCGGGCAGCCAACGTCTAGGTGTCCCTGGTGAACCTGGCCACGTGTTAAGGATGCACGGAGGCCTTCCCAAGAGACGGCCGCCGACCTGGCCTCCTGCCTGCCCCGCCCATGGTGCTGAGTTTTCGAGCCTGGGTTCCAGGGCTGCCTGGGAAGCGGCTCAGGTCAGGCCGGGGTCCCTCACCCGGGTGCTTCCGTCAAGGACAGAGGGGTGAGAGTGGCCGTGAGTGGCCCAAGAAGGCCTGGCAGCATGTGGCGTGCAGGGAGCCGCGGCGACCAGGAGGGCACTGCTGGCCAGGAGGCCCTGGACAGGGATCCTGGCCTACCCTTGCAAGAGCGAGAGGCTGGCTGGGCAGGTGGTGGGCTTGGAGGAAGATTTTTGGTGGGGGGCAGGTGTGGCGGGGAGGTTTTCAGGAGAGGAGATCCAAACGTGTTCACAAATTCCCAGGAGGGACTCGAGGCCACAGCTGCTACTGAGGCTTAGGTGCTTGGGAGGGAGCCGCCGCCGCGTGCACTACAACCTCTGTCATGAGTGTCTAACTCAATTTCCACCTGCACATGCCCCTGGACCGAACCTGCTGGGCTCCACTTCCGCCTGGGGCTCACTGAGGCTGCAGGCGCTGGGGCAGGACAGATGCTCCCCCGGGAGGAGGGAGTTGGGACGGAGAGGGACCTGGGGTCGCGGGGCAGGTGGGCTTACCTCCCCGCAGAGGGGCTGAGGGCCTGGAAGGGGGCCACACCTCTCTGCAGCCTTTTGTCCAGTTTCATATCCACGTGTCCCTCCTCTGGGAAACCTTGGAGAAGAGGGCACCTGGCTTCACTCCCTGGTCAGCGGGAGCACAGGACGGGGGACCCAAGCCATCACAGCAGGAGAGCCTGAGCCACACCTGCGGGGGTGAGGGTGGGGGAGCTTCCCTGGCCCTCAGGCCCCTCTGCTGGAGCAAGAGCAGGGAGTCAGCAGGGAAGGAGCCATGGGAGAAGCCTCACTCTTCCTCTGGCCAGAGGACAAGACTGGAGCAACAGCTGTTGTGGGTGCCACATGCCACACAGGAGAGCTTACACACTCCACACGCCACGCGGGAGAGCCCACATACACCATGCTGCTCAGACCCCCCGGACAACCCCTGGCTGTTGTCCTCCTAGCCCCCTTTCCAGGAAGGAAGCCAAGGCTCAGAGACAAAATGGGGTCCCCATTCCTCCCAGCCCACAGGACCCCCTGGCCGCCCGGCGGTCACCGTGGCCCAGGTGCCGGCCTACCTCGGGGCTTGCTCTCGTGGGGGGACCTCGGGCTCACATTCCTCTGTTGCTCCCAGCTGGGGCCCCACGGCAGTGTCTCGTCGTCCAGGAAGTAGGTGGCAGGGAGAAGGGGCTGGGGCTGCACGCTTGCCCATTCCCCAGGTGCCCCTCTGCCCCCGTTGGGCCCCAAGGCTCCAGGGCAGGCTGGGGCGGTGAGCGTGGGGGCAGCAGGCAGGGTGTGGGCACGTAAGCGCAGCAGGCTGGCAGCTAGGTCCCCGACAGTGTCCGGTGCCTTGGCATCCTGCAGCTTGGCAGTGAGGCTGTCGACCCGTTGCTTGAGGACTTTGGCCGTGGTCTCTAGCTCCTGCAGCCGCGCCTGCTTATGTTGGAGGTGCAGGGGGCTGGAAGTGCCCAGGTGCTCGGCCTCCTTCGGGTCCAGGTAGATGCACAGCCCGCGGGGTAGGTAGTGGGTAGTCAGGTCCTGGGGCTCCAGAGATCCCAGAGAGGGTGAGGCTGACAGCAGTACCGGGGCATCCCGTTCATCTTGGGGCCCCCCCATCCCTGGGGTCTCTAGAGTCTCAGCACGGTTCCAGGCTCTGTTCAAACACAGGCAGAAGCTGCAGGGAGAGAGACGTGAGCAGATCAGCTCGGGCTCGGTCGCCCCAGCAGGGCATGAAAAGCACGCGTGTTTTGTGGGGGTGAGCATCACAGCAGTGTCTGTGACCGACCGAGTGTCTGTCCGCAGGGACCAGGGAAGTGGTGACGGTATCCACACAACAGACCACACAGCTGCCGCAAGGAACAGGGCCAGGCGTGAGCGAGGGGACAGAGGAATTGGATCCCTGGCACTGCCTGTGGGGTGTAAAACGGTGCTGCCGCGGCGAGAGGCAGTTGGGTCAAACATAGAACGACCACGGGTCTGGCAAGTCTGCCTCTGGGCACGCACCCAGAAGAGCTGAAGTCAGAGCCTCAAAGACGTCACCCCTGTTCACAGCAGCCTTATTCACAACAGACAAAAGGTGGAAGCCACTCAGTGTCCATCGAGGGACGAACGGAGAAGCAAAATGAGGCCCACCGACACGGTGGAATAGTATTCAGCCTTGAAAAGGAAGCACGTTCCAACGCAGGCTACAACATCACCCTTGGTAGAATAAGCCAGGCACAAAATGAAACTGGCCCGATGGTCCCCTGGAACTCACCTTCATGGTTTCTTCTGAATGACCATAGAAATGAGCCCAGCCAGTCTTAACACGTGAGAAAGTTTCATTTGTCTTACCTGAGTTGCTTTCTCAGGAAACCGACCACCAGCCCTCCCAGACAGAATCAAGGAGTTGAAACGCACCAGGTCACCGCATCCGGACGATGAGATGCCAGACTCCTTGTGCATCACGCTTGCTTCCTTACCCTTCCCTAGTTCCCGTTTCCTGCACGGAGCTGCACTCCTTCCCTGATACGCAAGACCCCAGCTTTAGTCAGTCAGGCAGGGAGTTGGATTTGAGACTGAGCCCCCGTCTCTTCGGCAGCGGCACCCAATTAAAGACTCTTCCCTCGCAATACTCATTGTCTCTGCGATTGGCCTTCTGTGTGGCCAGCGGCAGGACTGAGACCAAACCCCTGCTGTTTCAGTAACAAAAAGGACAAACACAGCGCGTTCCTGCTCACATGAGGGCCCTGGGACAGGCAGATCCGTAGAGACAGGAAGTAGAATGGTGGTTGCAGAGGGCTGGGGAGGAGATGGAAAGTTAGTGTTTTATGGCGACAGAGTGTCAGTTTGGGAAGATGAAGAGTTCTGGAGGAAATAGAGATGGGGTCTCACTATGTTGTCCAGGCTGGTCTCAAACTCCTGGCCTCGAGCAATCCTCCCACCTCAGCCTCCTAAAGTGCTGGGATTATAGGCGTGAGCCACCGCGCCCGGCTACAATTTTTTAGGTGGGGAAAAAAACAGACACGGACGTGATGAAGTGAGATGAGGCCCTGCAGCCACCCAAGACGACGAGGACCAAGCTCGGCAGGATCCTGTTGAGCAAACGGAGCCCGACGGTGGCCAGTGGGGGAGGGGCTGCCCTTAGGGAGGGGGTGGCACGGCGCGGCCAGCATGGGACACTCACTCAGTGGCTCACTCAGGACCTGTGTCCTTGTCTCTCAGGACATTGACAGACACAGCCCCTGGGCTGCCCTGTGACCTAGACTCCAGGGAAGTAATCCCCAAATAAGCACCTTCAGGACAAAATGGAGCCAAAAGGAGCCAGAGGGAGGGGTCGGGTCCTGCAGAGAGGGGTGGGAGCTGAGCTCCGGGGCCAACTGGAAGCCCCCAACACCGGCTGCCAAAGATATGCCAGGGGCAGCCCTGAGGGAGTCCAGGGTGGGACGCTCCTGGTGGGTGGGGGCCCCCTCCCCGGCCTCTGAGCCAGCATCCCCTGCCTGCCGGAACCAAGGGCATGCAGGAGGCCTGGCTGAGAGTTCCTCACAGGTGCCTAGCGTGAAGCCAGGCCAGAGAGTGTGTGCCACTGGCCTGAAGCTGGGGCCTTCCACAGCCCTCCCTGGGCAAGAGCCAGGCTGGAAACTAGTGAGACCCAGGCTCAACTCCCCCAAGCAAAGCTGGGGGAGGTCTTCAGACCCCACGTGTGTGACTCATGATGCCCTCGGGGGAGGGGCCTCCAGAAATTCAAATACACGGTAGTCAAAGCAAAACAGAAACACAGAAAATAACCGAAAAGTCAGCACTGTGAGGAAGAGAAGAGATGGGGACCCTCGCGCCGGCAGGGGGATGGGAACCAGGGCGGCTGCTGTGGGGAACGGGGTGCAAGTGCCCGAGAAAGCTGCACACAGAGGTGCACATGCCCATGCAGTTCACTCCCAGGCGTGTACCCAAGAGAAACAGCGCAAGGGCCGAAGCAGCCCGTGCAGCCCGCTTACGGCCGCCGCAGGTGGGGCCCAGGCATCCGTCAGCCACGAGGCTGTGAAGAAAAGGTCGCCTGCCCACAGCCGGCATTATTCAGCCACAGACTCAGTGAAGTTCTGATTCAAGCTGCAACATTGATGAGCCCGGAAAACGTTATCCTCGGTGAGAGAAGCCAGACCCGTACCCCGTGATCCCATTTAGATAAAATGTCAAGAATAAGCAAATCCGGGCGGGGCGCGGTGGCTCATGCCTGTAATCCCAGCACTTTGGGAGGCCGAGGCGGGTGGATCACCTGAGGTTGGGAGTTCCAGACCAGCCTGGTCAGCGTGGTGAAACCCCGTCTCTACTGAAAATACAAAAAATTAGCCAGGCGTGGTGGCGGGCGCCTGTAGTCCCAGCTACTCAGGAGGCTGAGGCAGGAGAATCACTTGAACCTGGGAGGTGGAGGTTGCAGTGAGCTGAGATTGCACCACTGCACTCCAGCCTGGGCGACACAGCAAGACTCCATCTCAAAAAAAAAAAAAAAAAAAAGAATAGGCAAATCCGTTGAGGCAAAAAGCAGACCCATAGCTCCCCCCAGGGCTGGGGGAGAGGCTGCCTCCTGAGGGTGGGGCTCACGGGGAGTTGGAATGTTCTGGAACTCAGTGGAAGTGCTGGTTGCACAGCACACGGTGAAGGTGCTCGATGCCACGGAACGTGCCCTTTAACGTGGTGGATTTAAGTTTGATGCGACTCTTGCCTCCATGAGAACAAGCACAGTGGTGACCGCCTGCTCCATGCAGCCAGGCGGCACTGTGGGTGGGCGGGACAGAGCCTGCCCCACCTGAGGAGCCTCTCAGTCATGAGGCGATATCACGAGGTCCCCAGAACGCACCCAGCACTGTCCTCGGCCCCAGCTCACCCACGGCCCCACCCAGCACGTGCAGCCCCTGCACTTTCACACCCACCTGCCTGGGGCTTCCTGGCCCCCCAGCACCACGCCAGAAGTCACTTTGCTCCACTCCAGCACCGGGGACTCCAGGCTCCCGGAGGCTTCCAGGCCCTAAAGCAGAGGGCAATGCCATCAGAGGGCCCCCGCCTGGGAAGCCCACACGCCCCGTTCTCTCAGCCTCAGAGCTAGGGCCTGACCTCCCCCTGGAGTCTCAGGCTGCTTTCCGAGAGCCGTGCAGGAATCGGGGGTCCCACTTTAGGGGCTGTGAGAGCCAAGGGAGTGTCTCCGGAGCCCCATTGTACCCAGGGGCAAAGGCGCCCAAGTCTGACCCTGCACCTCACCAGGGCCTCCCCCAGGGAGGCATCCACAGAAGCTCTGGCTTTCTCCGGGCAGTGGCAGCGACACCGCGCAGTCCCCAGCCCCCAGCTGCAGCCCTCACCCGGCCGCTCCCTGGAGAGCACCAGGGGGCTGGAGGCAGCACCTGAGCGCCTAAGCCTCGGGTCCATGGCTGAGTCCCCCCAACCCACCCCTGGCACGTACCGCGGACTGCGCAGAACTGGGGACAAAGGTCACGATGCCAGGGGTGGTCCGGGAGACCACGGGGACCGCCCTGCCAAGGATGGCCTCCCTCTGCTGCCGGTAGACCTCCTGCAACCTCCGGCTCCTCAGCTCCTGTGTGCGCAGGGCCGAGGCCTTCTCCTCCAGGGCCTGCCGCCGCCGGGCCTGCGCCTTCTGGCGCATGAACTCCCGCAAGGACTCGGAGCTGTGTGAGGGTCCCAGGAGACCCCGGGGCCTGGGGCAGGGCGGTAGCACGTCCTTCTCCTTCCCAGGTGGGTTCTGAGGGAAGCTCCCAGTGGGCCTTGGCAGGGCATGCTTGGCACCCGAGGCAGGGGAGCCGATGCCTCTGCCCTTGCCCGGGGGGCCGGCCCTCTGCACGCTGGAGCTGCTCCAGGGCCGCTGTGCTGGAGGACTGGGCCTTTCCAGAGGATTCCACGGTCTGGGGCCAAGGGCCTCCCAGTCTTCACAGGCAGTCCAGGCCCTCTGCAGACAGGGCTGCGTGGCTGCGGCACGCCAGGGCTGCTGGGTTCGAAAGGGGTTCCGCTTTTCAGGGGGGCTCCCCGGCCTCTGGGAGGAGGGGCCCTGTCTTTGGGCCCCCGAGGCCCTCTGCGAACTGCAGGCCTGCCCAGCCAACGCACTCCAGGGCCGCCGGGAGAAGTGGCCCAACGTCTCATGGGGACTCTTCGGCCTCTGGAAGGAACGGTCCTGTTCTCGGATCTCCCAGGCCCTCTGCGGACAGGACTCCCGTCCGATGGAGGAGCTCCAGGGCTCCCAGCTGTGGAAACTCCTAGCCCTCTCTGAAGAGGAACGCTTCCCCTCCGTCATGGCCCAGGGACTCTTAGAGAAGGATATCTGGGCACTGGGGTCCCTGCAGGGGCCCTTCCTTGCCACGTCCTGCAGCCTCCGCTTTGATGGCCTCAGCTCTTGCCCTCCCTTGCGGGTCTGGGCCAGTTCTAGACCAGCCTGGATTTGCTGGCGCAGGTCTCGTAGGATGGCCATGGCCGTCTGGATGGTCGCCGGCTGGTCGAAGGAAGCCAGGCTGGGTGTGTTCCCGGACACCTGCTGGTCACTGTGGGCGGAGGTGGCACCGGGACACTGGGCACAAACCGGTGAGCACTCGGCAGCTGTGACTTTCTCGCTGTCTCCTGCGAAGACAGGAGGATCAGGGGTGAGGGGAGGAGCGGAGGGGAGAGCAAAGCCAGCTCCTCCACCCAGGCTGGAGGCAAAGAGCGTGGGGGCGGCTAGGAGACCCTTGGGCCTCTGCTGGGCAGAAGCCCTCTGAGGGTGGGCACCACGCCTGTGTGATGAGCTGTTGCTCTGCACACGGTAGCCAAGCACAGGTGGAGGGTGCCAGTGTCTGGGGAGCCCCTGCCAGCTCCCATCCTGCCTTCCTGCCAGGAGAGCGCCTTGGCAGGGTGCCTGCCTGGGAACTGCCGATGGAACCTCCCAGGGACAGAAACCCTTTTGTTAGGCTTTGAAAACACTTATTGCCCGAAGTCCCCAGTTGAATGGGTGGCAGGTTTGGAGGGTGTTTTCAGGCTTCTGTGAGAGGCGCCCACACCTCCTCCTTCCAGGCAGCCTGGAGCCTGGGCGTCTCCTCCTCTGCGCCCGCCCCCGGATGCCACAGCAGAGCAGGACAGAGCTCACGGCAGAGGCACAGGTACCTAAGTCCACGGTGAGAGCTGGGTCTCTCCAGGGATCCTTGCTATGGAGCCTGCGGAGGACGGGAGGGGGCCCAAGCAGCGACCTCACCAGAGCTTGTCCCTTTCTCCAGGCGTAAACACCAACCAGCTCCGAATCTTAAACAGAGAAAACATACACACAGCCGGGCGCCCCATGTCCCTCTGGGCACTGGCCCGGACGGGGAAGTTGGTGGCTCTGCACAGCCCCAGGAGGCCACTTCAACACTCCCAGAGGGCACGGGGGGCACATCCCTCACATCCAGGCCCCTGTTGGGCACAGCGGGACCCTTAGCCTGCACGGGGCAAGGCTGAGTCTCAGGGCGGCCACGGGCAGGTGGCTTCCCTGACCCTCAGAGTCTTCAGGAAAGCGTGGACAACGGGACCTGCCCCACAGCTCTGCCAGTGAAGCTCTCAGCACAGGCCGGACACACAGCCCATGCGAAAGAAACACTGAGCAGCAGCAGCAGCAGGAGTGACAATCGCGAGCCGGCGGCCCCACCCTCCGCTCCCTGCTGCACATCAGGCTCCGCACGGACACGGGAGGTCCTGCCACCGCCGGCCACGTGCGCCGAGCCACAGGAGATTAACCTGCTTTTAAGCCAGCAGAGTCAGCGGTCACACGGGTGGGCAGCGGTGAAGGCTCCCAGACTGGCAGGACAGGGAGTCCCAAGCATTGCGGCAACAAACGGCCCCACGTTCCGAGTACACACGAGCCTTTGCTCACAAATGGCGTCACACGGTAAGCGCATTCATCACGGTGGTACTTCATAGCCCAGCTCACGGCCACCGATGCCAACATCAGTGCTGCCAGCCCCATGGGCCCAGCCGCGAGGGCCCTGGCAAAGGCCGGAAGCAGGGCCAGCCCTGGGCTCACACACTCGCACACTCACACACACTCATGCTCAGATGCTCTCACACATGTGCGCCCCACACACACGCTCACACACATGCTCACAATTCCCTCACGGGCTCACAGGCTCACACACGCACTCCAGTGCTGACAGGCACGCACACACTCACACAGTCACAGCATCCCGCACACGTGCTGTCACACACGCTCATTCACATGGTCACACATTCACACAGGCACACACACTCGCACACACTCTGACACGTGTTCACACACGGTCTCATCCTCTCACACACTTTCACACAGACACGCATGTTCTCACACTCACACACACGACCACACACTCATGCTCTCACACTTTCACACAGACACATATGCTCTCACACTCACACACACGACCACACACTCATGCTCTCACACACTTTCACACAGACACGCATGCTCTCACACACAACCACACACACTCATGCTTTCACACTTTCACACAGACACGCATGCTCACACTCACACACACGACCACACACTCATGCTCTCACACTTTCACACAGACACATATGCTCTCACACTCACACACACTCATGCTCTCACACACTTTCACACAGACACGCATGCTCTCACACACACACTACCACACAGACTCATGCTCTCACACACTTTCACACAGACACACATGCTCTCACACTCACGAACACTACCACCACCCATCATGGGCTCTCAGCCCACATTACCACAGGACACGGGCCATGCTCTCACATCACAACACACCACACTTCCAGGCTTCACCTTTCCACACAGACACCATGCTCTCACACTCAACACACTACCCACACACTCATGCTCTCCACACATATCACATCAGACACACATGCTCTCACTCTCACACACACTACCACACACATGCTCTCACACACATCACACATGCTCTCACACTCACACACTGCCACACACTCATGCTCTCACACACATTCACACACACATGCTCTCACACTCACACACACTACCACACACTCATGCTCTCATACACATTCACACACACATGTTCTCACACTCACTGCCACACACTCATGCTGTCACACACATTCACACACACATGCTCTCACACTTACACACACGACCACACACTCATGCTCTCATACACATTCACATACACACGTTCTCACACTCACACACTGCCACACACTCATGCGCTCATGCACTTTCACACAGACACACATGCTCTCTGACTCACGCTCACACACACTGCTTATTCCACCTGGCTCTGCAGGGCCAACACCACACATGCTATGAGTCCCTGGCGCCTACGCCCCTTCCTTAGGCCCAGCCCAGGGCGGTTCCACCCCACGGCCTGGGGTTAAGACCACCGTGGAGTCTCAGCCAGGGCTCGCCCTGGCCCCCACGAAGGGGAACGTTCTGCCAAATGAGGGTGCCCTGGGCAGGGACCATCCAGAGAGCTAAGCACCCAGGGGCAGGCTCCTGGACTGAACCAGGGACTTCCCTAGCACCCCCAGACATGGCACCTTCCTCACACTGCCCTGACCCCTGGCCATCAGCCACAGGCCTGAAGCTACCTCTCCAGGAAGGGAAATGGGCTACGCAGTCACGCCCACCAGGCCATGCCCTCCCAAAGCCACATCCCCAAGGACAGGTTTCCCACAGCCACGCCCTCAGCAGGACAGGACCCCAAGCCATGCCCCATGCCCACTTTAGGACAGGACCCCTTAAGGCCATACCCTGTCTAGGACAGGACCCCAAGATAGAGGAAGGTTTAGGGTGTGGTCTCAGGAGTCCCAGACCTGGGTTTAAGTCTGGCTCTGCCACTCATCAGCCATGGGCCTCAGGCAGGTGATTCACTTATCCATGCCTCAGTTTCCCCATGTGTAAAATGGGGTCCGTATCTCACAGCACCTGCCATAGGGCCACAAGAATGAAAGGGTAGTCACGATCATTGCAGGAGTTAGGCCCGGAAGCGGGTCAGGATTCCGCTGGCTCAGGGTGGTGTCAAAGGCCAGAGCTGAGGCCAACGTGACCCAATTGGCCACAGCTGGGTTTCGGGGGGACCCAGAATGGAGGGGAGCCCCGGTGGGGTTTCTCCATCCTAGTCCCTACAGCTGCTTTCCCTCGCTGGGGTGCTGCGCCGGCGCCCGCCTGGGGAGGGGCTGCCTGCCTGCTCGCCCGGCCCCTCCATCGCTGGCCACTCACTTCCCCATCAGCCCGCCAGAGGGTCCCGCTCGATAAATGGGTCCTGATGGGCACATTTTTTCTTCCGCTGAGCAGTTTAATGGCAATTAATTTTTTTACGAGAGGATTTTTAATCTGCGGAAATGGATGAAGTCCCCAAGTGCCCTGTCAAAGTTCTGGGGCCGACCGAATCTATGATAAAAAATGCAAAGTGAGGTGATATAATCTGAAATTAAATATCGGGCTTCATTTTCCTTTGGCCCGGATGGATGAATATTTTATAACTATTGTGATTTAATTTTTTGTTAACTACAGCAAATTTCTAATTCATCCAATTCCCAAGTCCTGTGGCTCTGACCTCTGAACTGAAACTCATCTCTCCTTAGCCCAGCTGTGACTTCGTCACTGACAGAAACTAATGGTCAACACTGTCAGGGTGACATGGTGCTTACGATGATGAATGCGGCCGGTGGCATGCCCTCTGACCCGGTGTCAGGCAGAAAGCAGGTCATTTTTCAACTGAGCCATTAAAATAAAACAAACCAAAGACTTGGGGGAAGGAGGAGGTGATCATGCAGAAAATTGTTATATTGTACGCATGTTTCCACAGCCTTCCGGAACCTTCTTGGTGCCTGGGTCCCTCAATCGCCTTCCCCTCCTGCTCAGCCTCTGGCCCCGCTGAATGCACATGGCGGCCCCACGGCCCCGCTGAGCTCCCACCTAACCCGCGCGTCCTCTCTGGGTGTGGGCATAGAGGCGTTTACGCTCGGCTGGAAGCTGCTGCTTTGCCTAAGAGCAGAGGGGCCGGTGACTGATGACACGGGACAGACGCTCAGGCCCCTGGGCACGGACAGAGCGCACGCTACGCAGTGCCCCTCCCCGCGGCCCCAGGGCTGTGATTGCACACAGTGTGGAGAAACTGAGGCATGGAGCATCACGGGAGAGGCCGGCAAGCTGGCACTGCTAAAACTTAGAGTGAGGGTCCCACAGAGCCAATCTCAGCCCAGTGGGTGGCGTTCACTCCACCTGGGGGCTGTTGCTGGTATCTCCAAAATCCCGTGGTTCGGGGGCCCCAGGATCCACGCCTGGAGGGTGGCCTTGACAAGCTGCCCAGGCGTGGCCCCAGGTGCACACAGCTGGGTTCCCAGGTTAGGAGCATCGGCCTCGGGCTGGACGGGTGGGAGGCCCTGCCTCTGCCTGTGTAGCCCCGGGCAGGCTGTGGACGCTCTGTGAACCTCGGTTGCCTCATCTACAAAATGGGAGCAAGACTGCTGACTTTGGCGGGGAGCCAGGAGGCTACAGTGGGCCCACATAGTGTGGGCACCGGCCACACCACTCCCCTGACCACGAAGACGCCCCAGAGGGAAGCCCCGGAGGGACTCTACCTGCCGCCCACCCGCTCAAGGGCAGGGGCCGCTCTCAGGTTCACCTTGGCATCTCTGAAACCCATGCCCAGGCTGGGCCACTGGGTCTCTGACACCTCTGCCTGGTCCTCAGCAGGGGAGATGCCTGGATCAGAAATTCCTCTGTGACCACTGGGATCCACCCACAGGAGTACCTGACTGGACTCTCCGGGAAACACGCATGACATTAATCGTAACGCAAGCGCATGGCTGACCCGCACCCCTACGTGCCTGTTCGGAGTCCCCAAGCTACTGGAGGGAGTGGGGTCTGCAGAATACCCTTTCCCACCCCCAAGTGTGCAGGTGGAAGGAGATGTCCTGGCTTGCTCATTAAATGTGCCCACTTGACAAAGCAGGCACGGCTCCCTCGGCCAAGCGTGCCCTGAGCTGCCCACCGCACGTGCACCCATACCAGTATCTGTTACTGCTCTGGAAAGCTGTGGGCTACAGGTGGCGTGAGCTGCGGGTGGCGTAGGCTGCGGGTGCCATAAGTTGCAGGTGCCGTGGGCTGTGGGTGCTGTGAGCTGCGGGTGCCATGGGGTGTGGGTGCCTTGAGCTACGGGTGCCATGAGCGGCAGGTGGTATGAGCTGTGGGTACCATGAGCTGCCAATGCATGCTACAGTGTGGTTGAACGGCTCTGTTTCCTTAGACTCGCCCAGTCTCCCAGTGTTGAGAGGACAATAGTGGCCGGTGTTTTGTGGACTTCTACTTTGTCTCAAGGGACACGCCCCTGCCCAGACAGGAACCACCTACTGCTCCAGTGGTGGCCAAGGTCACCAGTTGCCTGGGACACCAGCCCTGACGCTCCAGCCGGGCCTGCCGATCCCAGGTGCCCTGCAGAACCCTGTGCACGTGGCAGTCCGGCCGGCCAGCCCCAGCTCCAGAAATGAAAACCATCTGCCTACCTAGTGTGCGCCAGGATCATACACACCTAGTGTGCTGGGGCCCCAAAATAGCAGACCTTACCTTCGTCTTTGTCTTTGTCTTTGGCTGGTCTTCTAGGGTAGGGTGACTTGGGAGTCTTCTCTCTTTTGCAAGAACTGCTCTTGGCCCTTTTGGGTTTTTCCCTTAGAACTTCAGTGAGGAAGAGAAAGGAAGGAAGGGAGGGAAGGTGAGCAGTAAAATGACACACAGGCCCCGCCACATGGCTGTCCTGGGGTCCTGTGCAAACACAGTTCCTAGAGTCATAAACATTGCCGGCCCTGGTCCCTGGTTGGTGAGAGCCAGGGTGGGCGGCTAACGCTGGGGACGTGGCACAGTCTGACTGTCACGTCCCCTGCAGTGCTCTGCCTGGGGACTGCCGCTGGGGACTCCTCCCTAGAGAATCGGGCACACCTACTCAAATTCCCTCCCGAGTGTCTGGCGGCCTCCCCTCCAGGCCCAGAGGTCCTGAGGACAGGAACCAGTTTCTCCTCTCTGAATCCAGCACCCAGCTGGGGACCCGGGCCATGGGCACTCAGGACTGTTTGCTGAGTGAATGAATGACTGGACCGGCCAGGACCCAAGTGAATGCACAGAGTGGCAACAGTGGACTGAACACCTCTGGGACCAGGGCCAGGAAGAGCAAGGGCAAGACCTGGAGAGGCGTTGGCATGGCGGGGTGGACCCCTCTGCTGATGCGGAGGAAATGGAGAACCCCAGGGGGTGGAGTTTGCTCAAAGTCCTGCAGCGAGTGCAGCGGCCACCGAGAGGGCCTGGCTCCGGAAGCTCACCGGTCATCTTTCCCTGCCTCCAAGCTTTAGTCTCCGCACAGCTGGGGTGGGGGCGCATCTGGGAAGCCACCATGCGAGAGCCTGCCGTGTCTGACGGGTGTCCCACGGGTGGGGACCCCTAGAAGAGGACCCTGACCCAAAGGCGTCTGAACCTCCAAACGCCGCTGGGTCCAGGCTGGGCCTGTCCCTTGGTTTTACAGGCCCCAACTCTGCTGGCAGGAGGAGCCTCAAGAGCCAGGTCCTCTGCAAGGGACACATTCTATACGGTCCCCAGAGTCACTAGGTCCATAGAGACAGGAAGTAGGAAGGTAGGTGCCAGGGGCTGGGGGACGGAGATGGAGAGTAAGTGGGGACAGAGCTTCGGTTTGGGAAGATGGAAAGTTCTAGAGATGGAGGCTGGCAATGTCTGCACAGCGCGATGAATGTGCTTAGCGCCACTGAACTGGGCACTTAAAAAAAAAGGCCCTAGGCCGGGCACGGTGGCTCAAGCCTGTAATCCCAGCACTTTGGGAGGCTGAGGCAGATCACAAGGTCAGGAAATCGAGACCATCCTGGCTAACCCGGTGAAACCCCGTCTCTACTGAAAAACATACAAAAAAAAAAAACTAGCCAGGCGAGGTGGCGGGCACCTGTAGTCCCAGCTACTAGGGAGGCTGAGGCAGGAGAATGGTGTAAACCCAGGAGGCGGAGCTTGCAGTGAGCTGGGATCTGGCCACTGCACTCCAGCCTGGGCGACAGAGCGAGACTCCGTCTCAAAAAAAAAAAAAAACTGGTGGGGCCCTTGGCCCTTGGCCCCGGCCCCTTCCTCACGGGCCTGGGAGCCCGCCAATGGTTCAGCGTCTCCCCCTCTGTGGGCTGGATGCCTCGAATCTGCAAGACGGAAAAGCGAGCCCAGGAGCTGGCAGGGACCTGGAGGGCCCCAGGCCCACTCCCTGTGGCTGGCATGAGGCCACACGGGAAAATCCTTGCCTATTTTGTGCAGGAGATCTTTCCCGAAAAAAAAAAAAAAATGCCCCTGTTCAACTCCCCTACCCTGCAGGGTCTGCCTGGATTCCTGCCCCACTGGAGAGGCAGAGGGTTGCAACACAGGCTCCAGAGAATGGCAGTCTGGCTCCAAATCCCCGCTTGGCCTCTTTCCAGTTGGGGTCCTCCCTGACCCTGTGTCTTTGTGAGTGTGGTCCAGCCTGTGCTGCCCATATCATGGCCTGAGCATGTAACCCGGAGCACCAGGGCCGCCAGCCACAGAGCCACTCACCAGGAACCTGCTGCTGGGAGACCCTGGAGAGCGCGTGCCCCTGGCCACGGGAGGCCTTGGCTTCAACTCTGCGCTCAGCCGCGCTCAAGATGCCGAAACCTGGAACAGGGTGAAAAGAAGAATACAGCGTGAGGAGGGAGATCCACAAAAAATTTCCAAGAAAAGCTTCCATTTTGGCAGCAGCTCAAGAGCCTTTATTTATTTATTTGAGACAAAGTCTCACGGTCACCCAAGCTGGAGGGCAGTGGTGCAATCTCAGCTCGAAAAGCACAATAAACCATTAGCACATCCTTTTTTAAATGTAACCAACTAGAATTGAATTAAAGTATGGATAACAGAATGGAGTAACACTGTTAGAATTAAGGGAAATTTTGATGATCATTTTGTGTTAGCAACATTTTGGCTTAGGAGTGGAGAATAAACAAGGGAAAAACCTTATTCTATTATTTAAGTGACTATTGATCCTAGTGTACACTACTTAATTGGACACAAGTGTATTCCAACAGTACAATTTTTTTTGTTCAATAAATATTAATTAAGAAGTTAGTGATCATGATGAACTCATCAGTCAACCGTGTCTTTCCTGTGATAGTTGTTGTTTACTCCTATTTTAACATGCGCGGCTCTTCTCCTCCAACATAGAAATATCATCGCTCTATCGCCACTGCACTCCAACCTGGGCAACAGAGCGAGACTCCTCTCGAACAAATAAAAAAATAAAAAATAAATATAAAATAAATAAAGGAGGAGAAACATCCTTCCGTGTTTCTTAGGGAAAAGAGTTAAATACCTGGACACAGAGAATCCACAGGACTGGGCTCATCAACTACTCCAACAGGGAAGTCCGTTTTCCAAACTCTTTTTTTTTTTTTTTTTGAGACAGAGTTCGCTCTGTCGCCAGGCTGGAGTGCAGTGGGCGGATCTCAGCTCACTGCAAGCTCGCCTCCCTGGGTTTACGCCATTCTCCTTCCTCAGCTCTCCTGAGTAGCTGGGACTACAGGCGCCGCCACCCTCGCCCGGGCTAATTTTTTTTTTTTTTGGTATTTTTTAGTAGAGAAGGGTTTCACCGTGTTAGCCAGGATGGTCTTGATCTCCTGACCTTGTGATCCGCCCACCTCGGCTCCCAAAGTGCTGGGATTACAGGCTTGAGCCAGCGCG